CGGCCTCCACGGGACCGACGCCGGCCCCCGCCGGCCAACCCCCGGCCGCCGCCCTCGCCCTCCTCGCCCGCCCCCCAGCCTACCGCCTCCCTTCCGGGCCCCCGCAGCCCGGCATCTCTGCGCCGTCCCCTCCGGTCCACACCGCTGGCTCTGCTCCAGCGAGTCCCCTACTCCAAAAACCACCGGGAACTGCGGGCCCCCACCTCCCGCGGGGAAGCCCTCCCCCGCCTCGGACTCCTTTACGCCCATTTCTTGGGTTCCCTCTCCCAGACCGGCCCGGGCCTCCGTTTCTGTGACGGCTGCTGCGTCTACGTTTTGGGGTAACGTAAACTTTTTACTTAAATGTAACACTCAACCGGTAGAGCAGTGCACCAGCTGGGAGAGGGCCCTGTTCCTGCCCCCGCGCTCCTCTCCAGCCACCTAACCTCCCTGGAGGGCGCCATCTACTCGGACGGCTCCAAACCCACACCCCAGCAGCTGTCAAGCTGGGGGACGGAGCCACACGTTCTCCTCCCAGCCCTCCCAAGACCCCGACGGACCCCCCACACACACACTTAAAAAGGAACAAAAGAACTACACCTAAGAAACTCACAAGGAATGAAATCATCAGAGATTCTGCAAACCTAAAAGAAAGTGCACACTGGCCACGAACATCGATGACTGTGAAACCACGGGTGAACGGCCGGCAGGGGAATTTACGATGGGGGGTCAGGCCGACAACACCAGCACCCAATAACCCGTCACAGCATCTTGCAGTGGGGCAACCAGACATCCTGCGCCCACTGGCATCACACAGTAGGAAGGACCCAGCACCACCCATCAAGCACGCACACCCAAAATACAAAGCCTGAATCTGCTGCAGCCCAACTGCCAGACAACAGGAGACGGAGGGATGGAGGAACATTCAATGACGCCACAGGGGCAAAAATCAGGGAAACCCTAAGACAGGCGACCTGCTTTCTCCAGCCTACGAAGCACACGCAACGTGTGGTCCTCCCTGGGGTCCTGATCTGAATGAACCAACTGCAAAAGACACTGGGGACAAGTGGGGAAAACCGAACGTGGGCTGGGTATTAATTAGGTGACACTAAGGAACCGCTGTTAACTTTGCTGGGTGTGATGAAAGCATTGTTTATCTTCTAAAAGGTATGTATGTCTCAGATACACACACAGAACTGTTTATGGGTAGAATGATACAGTATCTGAGGTTTGCTTTAAAATACTCGTTTTTTTTTTATAAAAATAAAAAGGTTGTGCCAGAATAGATGAAAAGGCAGAAAGCTGAAAGGTGACAGTTGCTAAGGCTGGTGAATACGGGTGCCTGTGGTCAGCTGACTAACGGTCCTGCCAAAGACGTCCCCGTCCTAGTCACTGCTACTTTAATCTAACAAAAGAGATCACGTTGCAGAGAAGTGGTTCCACTAAGGACGCTGAGATGGGGAGATGATCCTGGATGACCCGGTGGGCTCAATGTAATTACAAGGGTCTGGACTAGTGACAGGCAGGAGGGCCTGCATCAGAGAAAACGACAGGGTGGAAGCAGAGGTCAGCGTGATGCACAATGAAGGTGGAGGGGCCATGAGCCAGGAAATGCAGGCACCTCTAGGAGCCAGCGAAGCAAGGAGGCAGATTCTCCCTGAGCCTCCAGAAGGAACACAGCCCTGTGGCCCATTCTAGACTCAGCTCCAGAACTAGGGAATAAATTCATGCTGCTCTAAGCCATTAAGTTTGTGGTAATCTGTTATAGCAGCAACAGGAAGCTAATGTAGGGTTTAAATATCTAAAGTTTTTTAAGAAAGTAAAAGACACTGCACCAATGAAGAGACGAGGCTGCTGGCATGTAGCAGTCTGCACACTCCTGCAGGACAGGGGGCAGGTGGCAGCACGGCCGACCAAAGCAGCAGAGCAGAGGCCCCAGCCGCACGTTAGACGGGGTTGCAGGGGGAGGACCAGGAGAGGCTCTGGGCTCTGAGCTAAAATGAAGGCAGAGTGAGAGTCAGGTCTACACTCAGGCGGGCTTTACCAGCTGCCCCACCTCCCTGCCAGCCATTCCACCCTGTGGGCAAAACTCCCCGGACCCTCTGAGACTCAAGAGTGTGGGAGGGTCTCGCTGCCCAGGTGAGTGACCACCCCTGAGCTGAGCCCTCTTCAGCCCAACACAGGGAGAAGAGTGAGGTCTCTGCCTGACAGCCAGCTGTGCACCCACAAAACTGGAAGCAGAACCGACCCGGTGATCTCGGCCCACCCAGGCCCATGGGGTTTAGAGTGAGACTTGTCAGGAGACAGACGCAGATAGACAGACGCAGGGAGGGAGGGGGCAAACTGCTAAGGCAGCAGATCAGCTCAGCCGCACCAAGCACAACTGTCAGACAGCCTCACAGCTCTTCTCTGGGAAGCATGGACGGACCAGAGGGCCCTGCGCACACAGGGACACCTGCTGCCCAGCTGGAGACCGAACGTGGCGGCCAAGAGAGAATGCAGGCAGCGGTCACATCCAACTTTCAATGAGCTGTAATTCTAATTCCTGGATTGGAGTCTCCGTATAAAGCAGGACAGGACATGAGAGGCTCAGAACACAGGAAAGAATTCACAGAATATGAAGAAGACACAGTAATCAGGTCAGGAGGCCATACAACAGCTGACCTCATAAAAATACAAAAGACAAGGACGGGAGGGAATTTTTTAAAAAATACAGGACTTCTTTTAAAGACACAAAACACCAGCCATAAACAGGTATTTCTGACAAAAATTCACCAAAAAACACCTCTCTGATAAGACACCAAAGTGAGGACAAGCTATAGATTAGAAGACAACCCATACAGACAATCCAAAGGCAGGATCCAGAAAGCATGAAATGCCCCTTTAACAGGACGTCAGAGTCTACAGAAACCTAGGGATGGGGAGGCACACAGAGAGAAGGAAACACAGATGGGCAGTAACTACATACAAAGGTATTCAACCTCACTGGCCATCAAGGAAATACAAATTAAAATAAAACTTTTTCAGTCTTGAGGTAAGCAAAAATTAGAACACCCAATACTGTCAAGTGTCAGCAGAAACGTGGGGAAACAGGCGCCTCCTCCCAGAGTGTGAGACTGAGAAGGGCTTTACCTCTTCAGAGCCACGCGGCCGCACTGGTCATACTGAACACACACACGCCCCCTGAAACTCAGCAGAAATCTGCTTCTGGGGCACGTGCACGTGTGCACACAGAACTCCAAGAATGTCCTACCGGCCGTCTGCAACGGGAAAAACGGTGGAGGGAGGGAGGACTGTAAGCCTGTCCACAGAAGAAATGAACCAAGCCCACTTCTCTGATGGGACAAAAGAAATGTGCTTGACCTTTACCTTCACATGGATGGGCCTCAAACCTGCCCGAGCGAGCAGAGAGGTGTAGGAAAGCTCCATGTAGGAAAAGCATCGTCTAAAAAGAAGAGGTTATTCAACTCGCAACGCCTACGTGATTTACTGCCTACGCGTGTGAAAATGGACCAGCTGTGCGCGCCATCTTGGGGGGTCACCCTGAGGAGGGTGGGGAGAGAATGTGACTGGGGACTAAAAAGGAAAGCAAAGCAGACGTGGCAGACACTGAGCACTGTTCATTTGGAGTGATGGGGATGTTTAATCAATTCTTGTACTTTTCTGCAATTATGGGATTTGTCAAAATAAAAATTTTAAAAAGATTTCCAGAATTGAGATGTCACCAAAAACTGAAGGGCCCACGGACTGCCAAACAGCAAGAAAAAAGACTCCCAGAGGAACACGCCCTCTGCTGGGGCCCACAAGTCATGGAGGCCTTAGGGATACAGAGGAGAACGCAAAACTGAGGCTGGTGAGGAACAGGAGAGATGGCAGAAGACAGGCTGTGGAGACAAGAGGTGGGGCTGGGAGACGAGATGCTGGTATCACCGCGACCTAATGCTCAGGGCAAGGTGGCAGGACTGAGGGCCCAGTCTGGGGTACCAGTGAGCCCTTCCATTTCCCCTGTAACCCCCTCACCTGAACTCCCACTTTCCAAACATCTGCTATGAGTTGCAAAGATGTTTCACCCACATTCTTGTAAACATTTTTAGATGTACCACTTCATACACACGTATGAACATTTGCCCAGGCATTCTAAAGCACTTTATGAGCAATCCGCTGGCACACAGGAGGGCTTAACGGAGGGTACAGGGGTGCCGAGCTGGGTCTTGGCTGCTTGCTGACAAGGTATCATCTGCCTCCTCCTGCGTTACCTGAATTCTCTGACAATTTTCCCCTTCATGGAACCTGGGTACATTCAGATGGACTCTGGCATCTCCAGAATTTCCTTATTTATTAAGGTTTTAGGGCAAACTGCAGAGAAGAACAACATAACTAGACCGTGCTCATCGTAGAGACAATCAAGGATGGGGGCAGAGTGTTCAACTACTGGTGTTTTCTGTGAACGTTTACTGTGTACAAATCTTTGGTGGTTAGAGGGGCTTGAGTTTTCACATTTGGGGAGGCTGTTTACACGGGCTGGGATATTATTATTCCCCCATTCATCAACATAATGGGACCTGTGCTCCAACTAGCTGAAACTTCACCATCCAACCTGCTTCTATGATCAGACTGTTCAGATAACAAGGGATGACAGCATTTGACGTTTTCACCAGGTGAATGCTTTATTTCAATGCTTAATTCGGAGGGGACAATAGAGGGATAAGGGGCACTCACTTGTGTTCCTGAAGACCCCACTTAATACAAAACTCACATACTCAACTCTTTTGAGTTTCCAGGGAGAGATCCAAAGTGAGTGCGGGGATGGGGCCAGGAACATGTGCTTAGAAATCACAACTCTTCAGACACTGCAGGGCGGTGTTATTTTAATTCTTCATTTTTATTCTCTTGCCATTTCTTGGCTAGTAATTCTCAGAAACCCCCACATAAACTGACAGCAGAGTACAGCACAGTGGTTTTCAGAACTTCTTCATGTCAGTTCACTACAGCTAACTTCTGATCCCCAGCGACTGATCAGGGCCCATCCTTCAGCCTAGTCTAGCTTCCCTATTAACTGTTACAGAATCTAAAACCAATTGCACACTGTAACAGCAGCTAACACCACAGCTGCCCAGGTTCTTACGCCAGACAGCCACCTCCCTGCATCCTGAGGTTCAGGCCTTTCTGTCTCCCTGAGACAGCAGCGCTGCCATGGGGGGGTGGCAGTTACTACGATGGACTTCACCAGTCAGCTTTCAAACTGTGGGAGGTGTCCTTTTATTTTTTAATTTAGTAGGAGGCATAAAGTTGAACAGAGATGTTAATATTTTTATATCACAGTATCTCACATGTGCATGATTCATTGTTTTAACTTAGAAACAAAAACCCTAAATATAGTAATGAAACTATTCTTTGTCTTTCATAGCAGAGAATCATTACAGACTATGTAAATTTGATGAATTAGGATAAAAATCCCTAATTTAAAAATAGCCCTAAGAAACTGAAGAAGTTAAAAATGCCTACTTCTGAGCCATGGAAAGAAAAAAATAACAGGATAAAACATAGATGAGCCTTGAAAACTTGCTACAGTGACAGACGACAGACACCAGAGGCCATGTATTGTCTGATTCCCTTTATATGAAATGTCGAGAAAGAAAGCAGATTAGTGGTTGCCGGGGGCTAGGGGCTGAGGAAACGGGGGTAACTACTAATGGGTATGGGGCTTCTTTTTGGCTTGATGAAAATGTTCTAGAATTAAATACTGGTGATGGCTGCACAGCTCTGTGAATATACTGAAAGTCACCCAACTATATGCTTTAAAAGGTTGAACTTTATGGTATCTGAATAATATTTTAATACAGCTGCTACAAAAAATGTTTTTTTCTAAGTGGCTGCCTCTAGCAGGGGGTGTGGCAGGAGGGAGGAGGGAGACGACACCTCTCCAACACCATTAGCTCTGCTGCCCTACTTCTTTCTGGAGCCACTGTCGTGGCCTTACAGTCACAAAGTCCTGCCTTGACTGACTCCCTCATACCTCACATCTTGCTTCCGGGTGCTGGTCAGACTGAAGCCTGAATCTGCTTCCCACCGCCCTCTTCTTTCCACTCCCCTGCCAGGGACATCTTTCCAGCCCCATTCCAGACCCTGATGTCTCCTGCTCCTGAGACTTCTGAGGCTCTTTATTACCACCAGGATGGTGCCCTTGCTCTGCAGCAGGCATTCAGGACATGGCTGAGTCAGGCCTGGCCTCCTTGGCCTAAAATCTCACTCCAGTCAGCCGTCACACAGATGCTGGCCATGCAGTGTGTCCCTGTGGTGCCGCAGGAACCAATTTCCTGCTCGCCAGGCTGGTGTGTCCCCGCTACCTCCCTGCTCAGGAGTGTCCCGTCTCCCAGGCGCCTCCCTCTGCACAGCAGAGGGGCCCCAGCTGTTCGGGCACACAACCTCCATACAGACCTGCCCACCTCCCAGGGCACCAGGTGTCCTCGCTACTTCCAGGCTCAGCGCCTAAGCATCTCTGGCTCTTTGGAGCCTGACCACGTGTGTAGCACCAGGCAGCTCGTGAAGCCTCAGGAGCCAACTGACCAACCCTGCAGAGGGGCCTGGGAGCTCCTTGGGATGGGGGTACCCACCCCCGGCAAGCACAGAGCTTAATGGACAGCATCCCTGCATCAACCTGCATCCGGCACTGAATACGTGTGCGAAGGTGGGAGAGGAGGGGCTGCTAGCCAAAGGGGGTGTCCCTTACCTACCAAACAGCCCACAGCACAGCTGGGGCTCAGGACTCTGAACAGGCTGGTTGACAATAAGGCTCCCAGTCACGGAAAACTGAATTCCCCCTATCCACGCTCAAGAATCAATCAACTTCTGGCTGATTCCTTCTCTACCTAAACCCTAGCCATGGTAAACTGAGGAACCATGTTGACTGGGATGGCCGGGGATACCCTGAACACCTTAGGGAACAGGGTAACCCCTCAGGAAAAAGCAGAAGCCCCATCTCACCTGGGCCTGGGCTGTCGGGAGCCCGGGGGCCCTCCTCCTCTCCTCAGGGGTCTCCTCCATGCGCCAGGCAGCATCCTGAGGACACAGAGCTGGGGGAGGAAAGTGAAGTCACAGAGGCAGCTCTCCCTGCTGAAGTGTGCCCACGGAAGTCCTACCTCTGGTCCTGGCCCGCCCCTTCGGGCAAGGGAAAAGACCCACCTCCTCATGGTACAGATGAAGGACATGCGGCCAGAGAAGTTAAAGAATGTGACTCATCACAGAAACCATGGACCATCCCCCTCTGCTCCAAGGCACTGTCTCAGAGAAGCAGTGTCTGTTTACAGCCTTTCTGGGCCTGGGCCCTAAATGGCCACACATTCATTCTCATACATCCTGTCCTGGAAATGTCACCACTCTGAAATCCCTCGTGGAATCTTCTGATCCTTTCCTGCTTCAGCTCTGCACAGAGACAGATCTGGACCACCATCCCTGTCCTAAGACCTGGCTCCCCGGCTCTGAGCCCCAGTAATGGCAGGTTACTGCTAGGAGAGGCCATGATATGGCAGCCAACGTGGCTGATGAGGATATGGGTTCTGGACTCACCCCAGGAGGCCCACGGGTCAACAGCCGCCATCCCCCAGGACTGGTCTGTAAGGAAACCTGCACCAGAGGATCAGGTTAGGACAAAGAAAAGAAAGAATTGTGATATCAATCCTAGTGACTGAAGGCAACAAAACAGAAGAGGAGACCTGTCTCACTAATGGGCGTAACAGAATTCCATAAACAGAGCCCAGGGACATGTGAAAAAAATCCAACATAAGCTAAATTTATAGTGGAAATGCACAGGTGGGTCACTTGCAGGAAATTTATTGATATGATAGAATAGATCCCTTTATGGCTGGAAAAGTAGCTGATAAAATTAACATCACCTAATTTTGAAAAATATGTTCTTAAATTATAAACCAATGCTATATAAATAATAAACAATAATAAAAGTAAAAAAAATAAAAATATAGAGAATTTTTAGTTGTAGGTATGACTGTCTTCCAAAAAATCCCACAAATCACCAGAAAAATCTCTTAGAATAAGATGTCTCAGGAAATGACTATAAAATACACAAAAATTACACTGTCTTTTATACGAACAGCCAATTTTTTTTTAAATCTCACTCAGTTCTAATTCTGTACCAAGTCAGAGAGATCCCTTCCAATCCCCAAAAGCCCTCAGCCCAACCTCCCTCCAGCTCTGACCCCTGGCTACAGCAGGGCATTGCTGGGGAGGCCCAGAAGAAATAGGATTTAGACTCACCCCAGGAGGCCCAAGGGTTGATGGCAGCCATCCTGCCGGATTAATCTACCAGGCGCTTGCCCAGGAGCAGTGGATCTGGGTGATTACAGAAAGCAGCTCCAATACCCACCTAGTCACAAAAGTGGAAAAAGACAAAAGTGGTTCTTTCTCATAGACGATCCTGTGGGAATAAAGCGAACACAACTACAGAAGCAACAAAAGACTCTTAGAGAGCATTGTAAGAAAATAGAATTTACGTGTCAAAACATAACAGAATTCCTGAAAAGAAATGAAGGGTGACTTGAATAAGCTGAAAAAGGGAACAGTCCAGGAGGAGACACTAGAAATTTGTCTCTGGTTCCCAAGAGAAGTAACTTTCTGTTGACTTAACAAAAATTAACGTAAAATTTACCTACAACCTTCGTATGTAAATGGTTGCCTGGTGCTGAGAGGGAGAGAGGAACGGGAAGTGGCCGCTTAATAGGTTCACGGTTGGGTTTTTGTTTTGTTTTGTTTTGTTTTTGCGAGGGGGCGATGAAAATGTTCTGGAGTTATATAGTGGTGAAGACCGCATAACGTTCTTAACGTACAACAAAACCACTGATTTGTACGCTAATATGGTTAATTTCATGTTACATAAATCTTAGCTTAAAAACAAACAAACAAAAAAAACACCTGAAAGACCTGCCAGGCCCAAGCCTCTTTCTCCTGGTGCAGAGGCCATCGGAAAGCCGAATTTGGAGCCCAGACCCCGTCCCCCTCCCATTCCCCAGGTTCTAGGTCTTTGTGCAACCTCTGAGTCTACCAACGCCAACTGGCAGGGCTTCGCGACTTCCTGGGAGCGTCTACAAAGCACTGGGACACCCACTGGGCTCCGGGAGACCCGAGATCTGCGCCCAAACGCCGAGAAGGAACACTGAGTATTCTGCACCGCTGTCTGCAACTGGACAAAGTCCTCCGGCGCGGCACGTCTGCAGGCGCCCCGGGCTAGCCCCAGCCCACTTCTGACTTCCCTCCGGGCCAGAGGAGGACGGGCTCGCAGGAGAAATGGAAAGGTGGATTCCCGGAGCGGCCTCGGAGGCGTCCTCACCTCAAGCCTCCCGGCCTCCCGCCCCAGATTTCCCCCGCGCCCCGGCTCGGAAGTGATGCTCACCGCCCGTCCTGCGAGCCACCGGCCTCCCACCTCGCGGGCCGGCGCCGCCGCTCTTCGAGGACGACTGAGCAAGCTCGCGCGCGCTTCACGGGGGGCGCTCGGCCCGGCCCGGCCCGGCCGTGCGCTCGCGGTTCCCGCCCGGGGGACAAAGCCCGACAGCATGGTTCACGGGGCCCGCCTAGCTGGTCCGGCGCGTCCTCCAGACCGAAGGC